CCTTTGTGTGGTCAAACACCATAACACTCACCCATTCTTCATTCCCTCTATTGATCTGCAGGAAGATGTAATGTTCTTTGTAGACTCATTAATGAATTCAAGGGATTCGGAGCCATTCCCTCCACCTCCCCAGCACAGAGCACTTAACACGGAGCCCGGTATCCAGGCAAGTCAATCCCTAGAGCCTGAATGCAGATAACATCCTATAATGGCCACACCAGCACAAAAAAAGGCTTCTGTTCCCTTCGTGTTAACAGGCAAAGTAGCGCATTAATCCGGTGATTAGGAGAATTATCTTTTATATAGACATGTAACAGGCAGAGCATTCACTGGTAATAAGACCTCATAGTAAAAAGGTAGGGGATCCACAATAGCAGCATAACATAGATGACATGGGTTTTTAGAGAAGAATACAAAACTATAACAAATCAAAGATAACAAAAAATATACTACAAAAAGTAAGGATACAGCTTCACCAAGTCTGCAAAAACTACATAATTGGAGTGGGACAGGTATGGTTCACTGCTGCCCATACACAAAGCAAAATTCAAGCCATGGGTGGCCAAGTTACCTCACAGTTACTACCTTTTGTACCACTAGCCCCTCCCTCCTAGATTGTAAGCTCCGAGGATCAGGCCCTCCTATCCCTCTTGTATTGTTACTGTATTGTCTCCCGTTATATTGTAAAGTGCTGAGCAAACTGTTGGCGCAATATAAATCCTGTAATAATAATAATAAGTCTGCATTCTTCCATCGGACATCCTTAGATCTGAAAATTAAAGGAGGCAGGTGGAAAAAGAAAAAAAATATGTTATCTGAGCAGTGGCTGCATCCAATGGGATGCAGCCACTGTTTGGGTATACTGACAGCCATGGATGACAGCTGAGAGAATACAACAGCCCACAGGAGCGATTTGTCTATTTAGCATGGATAGGGGAGTCGATAGATTTCTCTCATTCATCCGCAGGAGGTAAAATATGGCCAGTCCAAGATCAGAGATGTGTAGGTCACTTTACTGTCCTGTAGACGTTAATGGAGCAGACTGGCCAACAGGGAGTAGAAAATACCATGTCAGTCAGTTAAAAAAATGAATTGCTGTAGTCAGTAGGAGAAGAAATAGTGCCGTAGGTTAAAAATTCTAGATTTTTCTTTTTTTATTGTCTTGTGAAATTGACAAATCTCTAATCACGATGTAATGTGTAATGAAAGTCAACGTATCGGCATAATTTGATCTGATCTCCTCTGTCCCCACAGGGGGTATGAGGCTGCATTTGGCAAGCAGCACATTAGTTAAGGCTGGTACATACAAGCCAAATAGCGGCCAGTATAACAGAAACCAACAGACAATTGGCCAATGTATGCAGTAGCCCATCCGGCTTCTGTCGAACCGGCACGCTGGGAAACCAGCATCTGATCAGCACTTGCAGCCAATGGCTGCAAACACTGATCAGTGTGTCCTGGTGGGGGTCATTACCCTGTCACAACACAATAGTTCAGCGGGGGAGATCGCTGCACAAACATCACTTTGTGTTAGTACAGCGATCGGTCATTATTTTTTTCGTTCAATCCTCAGGGCTGAACAATAAAAATCTTGTAGTATGTAGAGGCATTAGTGTATGCTGTATACAGCCAGACACCTCGGCACTGACAAAGGAGCTGAGATCTCTGGCTAAATACAAGGTTTCAGATAACAAAGAAGATTGTCAGATTGCTTTCTGAACCGCTGGGACTTGTAGTTCCATATTGTCTGTGTGTTTTTTTTTGGGGGATGCTGTGATTCTGATCTTCCCACAACTGCTGCCTGTGTGGTCCTGAAGCTGCAGCCAGGACATCCAGCCCTCTAAGGATCTATGATGTGCTTGTGAAGGACCTCTGCCCCAGGACCTCCTTTACCCTTTCACTTTGCTTGGACTTGCTTAGTGGAGGACACTGTTGGGTAGTCCCTGAACCCTTGCTGTCCCTGAGGGCTTAAGCCTTGAGGAAATCAGACCATTGTCCACCCTTGCTGTGTGCCCAGATTGCTGCCCTGTGCCAAGAGCTTAACCCTTGCTGTACCAGGCCACTGTCCCCCCCCCTCCCCTTGCTGTGTGCCCAGATTGCTGCCCTGTGCCAAGAGCTTAACCCTTGCTGTGCCAGGCCACTGTCCCCCCCCTCCCCTTGCTGTGTGCCCAGATTGCTGCCATATGCAAAGGACTTAACCCTTGCTGTACCAGGCCACTGTCCCCCTCCCCTTGCTGTGTGCCCAAATTGCTGCCGTATGCAAAGGACTTAACCCTTGCTGTACCAGGCCACCCCCTCCCCTTGCTGTGTGCCCAGATTGCTGCCATATGCAAAGACTTAACCCTTGCTGTACCAGGCCACTGTCCCCCCTCCCCTTCCTGTGTGCCCAAATTGCTGCCGTATGCAAAGGACTTAACCCTTGCTGTACCAGGCCACTGTCCCCCCTCCCCTTGCTGTGTGCCCAGATTGCTGCCATATGCAAAGGACTTAACCCTTGCTGTACCAGGCCACTGTCCTCCCTCCCCTTGCTGTGTGCCCAAATTGCTGCCGTATGCAAAGGACTTAACCCTTGCTCTACCAGGCCACTGTCCCCCCTCCCCTTGCTGTGTGCCCGGATTGCTGCCCTGTGCCAAGAGCTTAACCTTGCTGTACCAGGCCACTGTCCCTCCCTTGCTGTGTGCCAGATTGCTGCCATATGCAAAGGACTTAACCCTTGCTGTACCAGGCCACTGTCCCCCCTCCCCTTGCTGTGTGCCCAAATTGCTGCCGCATGCAAAGGAGTTAACCCTTGCTGTCCATGCCACTGCCCCCCTAAAGGGACCTAGAAGTAGGTGGATGGATCAACCTCTATGGGAGTTCGTCCACCAACAGATCAAAGGTTGTGAAACTCTTCAGCAAGGCTGGGGAAGCCCAACCAATTCTGCAAATGAGAACAAAAGAAAGCACACCACCCTTGTGCATTACCTCGGTAAAAAGATGTGATTTTATTAAAATAAGATGTATACTCACAAACATAGCAATAGCTCTGAAGAAGGGGGGGGAGAATCTCCCTATGAAACGCGTCGGCCTTACTCTGAGAGTCTCCCTTTTCGGTGGGATTCGCACGTGTCTCGCAATCCAGTGATCCAGTCTGGGACTTTATGGGCATTTTATATTGCTACACATTTGTGAGTATACATCTTATTTTAATAAAACAACATCTCTTAACCTCTGCTGTACCACATTGCCGCCTGTCCCTCGTGCCTGGGTTGTTGCCCCGTGACCCTGGACCAAGTCCTTGCTGTACCACAGATTGCCGCCTGTCCCTCGTGCCTGGGTTGTTGCCCCGTGACCCTGGACTAAGTCCTTGCTGTACCAGATTGCTGCCTGTCCCTCGTGCCTGGGTTGTTGCCCCCGTGACCCTGGACCAAGTCCTTGCTGTACCAGATAGCCGCCTGTCCCTCGTGCCTGGGTTGTTGCCCCGTGACCCTGGACTAAGTCCTTGCTGTACCAGATGCTGCCTGTCCCTCGTGCCTGGGTTGTTGCCCCGTGACCCTGGACCAAGTCCTTGCTGTACCAGATAGCTGCCCTGTGCCTCTGGACATCTCCCTTGATGCCACCTTGTTCCATTTCTGCCTGTCCATCATGGTGTTTGGATTATTACCCTGTGGCCTTCCCTTTGACTCCCTGCTTGTCCAGCACCCCCAAATAAGAACCCTAGACCAAAACCACTCTTGATTTCCATGTGTGTTCTGTTCCACCCACACCTGCATCACGCCCTGTCCATTGGCAGTGTAAAAAAAAAACAAAAAAAAAAAAAAAAAAAACGACTGATTAGTAAAATGAGGAATAGTGCCTCATCATTGGCATCAGGGGGCAGCAACTGTTGGCATCAGGCAGCAATGGAGGCACACTGTTGGCATCAGGGGCAGCAATGGAGGCACACTGTTGGCATCAGGGGCAGCAATGGAGGCACACTGTTGGCATCAGGGGCAGCAATGGAGGCACACTGTTGGCATCAGGGGCAGCAATGGAGGAATGGCATCAGGGGCAGCACACTATGTCTTGAAACAGTCAGAGTAGCAGGGCCTGATAAAAAGCAAAGGGCCACATCCGGCCCCCAGGCCACAGAAACCACCATGTTAGGTCAAAACCAATATTAGAGTGGAAAACCTATGTAAACGTTTCTGCTGGATGGATCATGCATCTGCTAGGTAAAGTGCTGAAGATCTGGAGATATCTACTAACCAGCCCACCACACACACGTATGAAGGGGATTGTACAAACAACTATGTAGTGCAAGAGCCTGCCTTATTGAAAACAAAATGGAGTAGATTGATTAGGTAGGTTTTCATATTGCACAGTTTTGGTATAGCCATGGTTGATTGTACGGTCATATTGTAAAGTGCATGGTGATCCTAATTCTCACCATATACATGATACAATATGATTGAACAAACTCCTTTAGATTGACCAACAACTATGTAGTGCCTTCCTATTTGGATACAAATTGAGTGGACAGATTAGGCTAGATACTGTGCTGTTCAAATGGAAATCATTTTAATGGAAAATACAGCATTTGGCCACTAGATGGAGTATTCTAGGAAATTCATATGATGCTTATCCCCATCTAGTGGTCAGATGTGGTATTTTCAGTTTTAAATCAATGATCTATGTTCGAACAGCACAGGATATAGCCCATTTACATTTGATTTACCCCATTCACATAGAATGAAGATAAATGCACTTTCACTGTGCAACTGGCATATTCTTCATACGTCAACACCTAAGTTAGCGATAATAAAACAAACTGACAATGCTGTGTGAAGACAAGAAGCCATAAATGTAAAAGCACTAAGCACTCCAAGAAAAAAACAAACACAAAAACCCCTTTTATACAGATGAAAATCACCACGCATGTACATCACAGGTACATGCCATAACAGAAACCCATGGAATGAAAAGACACTAGGCTTTTATAGATACGATCATCACAAAACATCCCAAATGTCTCCACTTACCTTTGACAATCTGTTTAGCACAGGCATTGTAAACTTGCTCTTGGCTGGTATTTGGAGGCAATACTTTATCGAAGACGTAGGGCTTCCCTTGCTGCAAATGATACAAAACAAAAAAGTATCAAATCAACAGAACAGAACAAAAATGAGTTGTGTAGAGCTCCAAGTACCAGAACGTTCCCATTGTACTACACTAATCTGCCCGGCCACATCGCTCACACAGACAAAGCATCTGCAGGAGAAATGCTGACAACAGCAAAGCCCCTTCCATGCCAAGATATGGAGAGGAGCAGCTAAAGTCATGCAGGACATGATCAGCATAAAGGTTCTCCACACCTAGAGACAACCATCCCAAGTCCACAATTTAAATGGTCATCCAGCAAAAAAACAAATATTTAAAAATTATTGGTAGATGCAAGGGCAGCCTTTATCAACCCCCCGCCCAAGGAACCCTTGACATCTCCCAATTAAAATATTGAGGTGAGATAGGAAGAATGTTCCCCTACATTCACGACCAGGAGGGAGAATGTTCCCCTACATTCACGACCAGGAGGGAGAATGTTCCCCTACATTCACGACCAGGAGGGAGAATGTTCCCCTACATTCACGACCAGGAGGGAGAGAATGTTCCCCTACATTCACGACCAGGAGGGAGAATGTTCCCCTACATTCACGACCAGGAGGGAGAATGTTCCCCTACATTCACGACACATTCACGACCAGGAGGGAGAATGTTCCCCTACATTCACGACCAGGAGGGAGAATGTTCCCCTACATTCACGACCAGGAGGGAGAATGTTCCCCTACAATAGTGATCAGAAATCCACCTTTAAATAGCAAGAAAAAGAATGTGTCATGTTGCTAGCTCTGCTAAACAGCGTTGGACCCCAGAACTATGTAAGCACCATCAGGTGAAAGGTCAATCAGCCAGAGCTCAAAGAAACCCTAGCAACCTCTGGAGGATCCCTAGGGGGTCATGGAACCCTGGTTGAAAGCAACTGTGCTAGAGAGGTAAACCGGTGCATCTTATATTCAGTGCCAATACAAGGTCCTTCTGCACTCAAGGCAAAAAGTCCACCTTGTGCCCCCACCCCACCACCATGAGTGGTGAACTACTTCAGCAGGATAGATTGCAGGGTCTGCCCTTTGTTGCACTGACTCCAAATGACATGCCCTTGCGGCAATTTCTTCTGCCTACCTCTTGGCCTGGTCCTGCTTACAGTACATCTCTTGGAAACTGTATTAAACACTGCTCAAAAAAAATTAAAGGAACACTTTGAAAAACACATCAGATCTCAATGGGGAAAAATCTCCTGCTGGATATCTATACTGATATGGACTGGGTAATGTGTTAGGAATGTAAGGATGTCCCATTGTTTGATGGAAATTAAAATTATCAACCTACAGAGGACTGAATTCACAGACACCCGAAAATCAAAGGAAACAATTATGCAGCAGGCTAGTACATTGTTGAAATTTCAGTGCAGAAACTCAAAATTGTACTCAGTAGTTTGGCCCCCCACATGCTTGCATTCATGCCTGACAACATCTGGACATGCTCCTAATGAGACGACAGATGGTGTCCTGTGGTATTTCCTCCCAGATCTGGACCAGCACATCACTGAGCTCCTGGACAGTCTGAGGTGCAACCTGGTGGCGTCGGATGGATCGAAACATGACATCCCAGAGGTGTTCTATTGGATTTAGGTCAGACAAGCGTGGGGGCAATTTAATGGTATCAATTCCTTCATCCTCCAGGAACTGCCTGCATACTCTCGCTACATGAGGCCGGGCATTGTCATGCACCAGGAGGAACCCAGGACCCACTGCACCAGCATAGGGTCTGACAATAGGTCCAAGGATTTCATTCCGATACCTAATTGCAGTCAGAGTGCCATTGTCTGGCCTGTAGAGGTCTGTGCGTCCCTCCATGGAGATGGCTCCCCAGACCATCACTCACCCACCACCAAAACCATTATACTGAATGATGTTAGAGGCAGCATAACGTTCTCCACGGCTTCTCCAGACTCTTTTACGTCTGTCACATGTGCTCAGGGTGAACTTGCTTTCATCTGTGAAAAGCACATGGTGCCAGTGGCGGACCTGCCAATTCTGGTGTTCAATGGCAAATGCCGATCGAGCTCTATGGTGCCGGGCAGTGAGCACAGGGCCCACTAGAGAATGTCGGGCCCTCCGGCCACCCTCATGAAGTCTGTTTGTTTGGTCAGAGACATTTACACCAGTGTCCTTCTGGAGGTCATTTTGTAGGGCTCTGGCAGTGCACATCATGTTCCTCCTTGCACAAAGGAGCAGATACCGGTCCTGATGATGGGTTAAGGACCTTCTACGGCCCTGTCCAGCTCTTCTAGATTAACTGGCTGTCTCCTGGAATCTGCTCCATGCTCTTGAGACTGTGCTGGGAGACACAGCAAACCTTCTGGTAATGGCACGTATTGATGTGCCATCCTGGAGGAGTTGGACTGCCTGTGCAACCTCTGTAGGGTCCAGGTATCATCTCATGCTACCAGTAGTGACATTGACCCTAGCCAAATGCAAAACTAGTGAAAAACAGTCAGAAAAGATGAGTAGGGAAAAAAAGGTCAGTGGCCTCCACCTGTAAAACCATTCCTGTTTTGAGGCTAGTCTCATTCTTGCCCATCTAATGTACCAGTTGTTAATGAACACCAAAGCAGCTGAAACTGATTAACAACCCCCTCTGCTACTTAACTGACCAGATCAATATCCCAGGAGTTTAATTGGCTTGATGCGATCAAAAAGTGTTCCTTTAATTTTTTGAGCAGTGTCGATCTCTATGCAAAGTTCCCGGGTCTGCATGTCTGCTGTGGCCATTATGAGATATTCCCACCATCTTTTTTAATTTAATCCCATTATGAAGAAAACAGGAGATGCTGGAAAACGCAAAAGGCAGGCAGAACATCCAAAAGTTAACAGGTGGGCAATAACAGTAAGAAATTATGGCAGGTAGCTCCTGTTGGAGTATCCAAGATATATAATGTGTCTCAATGAGTCCAATTGGCTGAGACAAAGCAGTGGGAGCCATTGGCTCCAGCAGCTGTCGATCACAGCCAGCAAGGAGGAAGCAAGGATGGGACTGAGCCATGCTCTGTGTGTCTCGTGTACACACGTACACACACACACACACACACACACACACACACACACACACACACACGTACTTGGGAGTAAGCACACACACGTGCCCCCAGCGCAAGTAGTTTGCACTGGGGACACGTGGAAAGAGGGAGGGGCCAAAAATCACCAAGAGGGGACCTGAGAAGAGGACGAATGGAGCTGCTTTATGCAAAACCATTACACAGAGCAGGCAAGTATGACAGGTTTGTTATTTTAAAGAAATAAAATAACATTTAAAACCATTAAAGTGATTGTAAAGTTTTTTTTTAAATAACAAACATGGTATATTTACCTGCTCTGTGCAATGGAATTGCACAGAACGGCCCTGAACCGCCTCTTGGGTGTCCCCTGGCTCCTCCTCCCTCCAAGCTGCTTGCTATGGGGGCACTTGTGCAGGTTCGATCCTGAGGGGAAGGATGGGAAGCAGTGTAGGAATTTAGGTGGGTCAGGAGAGGGGGTGGCAATACACAGATACTGCCACTTTGCTCTAAAAACTGGTGCTCAGGTTAAGGAACAGTTTGTCATCGATGGCCTCTCATTTGAAAAAAAAAAAAAAAAGTTTCTGGCTGTCATGCTGATCCAACAGATTCAGAAACTTGTGTCCCCATTCTTGAAAGAAAGAAACATGACGGTCTGAAGCTGGGGTTTCGCTTGCTGCATACTTTCTCCAGTTGAATGGCTCAGAAAGTACTGAAGACAGAGCCAGGAAATTACTATTTTCAAGAAGTAGTCATGGCTGCCTACATATTTATCCACTTGACTTTCCTGCTCCCCCCACCTTGAGGAGTCACTAACCCAGAATCAGCATGTACCTCTCTGAGTGTTTGTTTTTGGGTAGCAAATCACCAAGATGCAAGACTAGAAGAACTGTTTCTACCCCGACAGGCAGGGATATAGTAGAGGAGAAGATCAATGTGGTCACAAGGCTTTTTCATATAAAGTGCACCTGTCATTAGAAAATAGGGAGACCACTGCTGGCCTCCTTCTGAAAAGGATATTGGCCTAGTTGTGTTTTCCTTTAGTCACAGACCTAGAACAAACCTGATGAAAATAAAAAAAGCTGGAATTAGATGTCTTTATACTTGTTCCCAGTCAGTGACTCCATATTGAAGAAAAGCACACCAGCAAGAGAGGCAAGTAATGGCAACCCACCTATTCTCCCTCTGCCCCAGGAGGTAGCGGGTTTGGCACAGGTGCCATACAGGGAACACTTTGCATTATATCAATTAATGCAAAGGGTTCTCTGACTGGATGAAGTGGAGAGGCAGGGTGGGAACATTAAAATCTCATCCATGTCCAGTCAGAGAACACTTTATATTCATTTAAAAAAAAAAAAAAAGAAAGTATTCCCTGAACAGTTCCATTCAAAGCAGGTGACCCATCTACAGTAAGCAGCAGGGCGGGTGCTCAGTACAGGACCTGGAAGTTGAGGGAGAGCACTGGATTAGCAGTGACTACTACAGTGATTTCCAATGTAACTCCTGAAGAAGTCAGAACGAAACGCGTCGAAGACGAGATACAGGCAAATAAATCATCTGTCAGGAATGGACTTGCCAATAATGGTGGGACTCACCTGCCTTGTGGGCTGCAGTACCAGGGCTGGCCAGCGGGTGCTCTCAGCAATCAGAGACTCACCCCTGCAATCAGCCAAACACCTGAAGCCGATTGCAGGGGTTGTATTTAAGGAATGGCCAGACTCACAGTCTGTGCCTTGGTGTGTGTTTTTCCATGGGCCCCTGTACCTTGTATCCTGTATTCCTGTTCCTGTCTGACTTGTTGCCGACCCTGCCTGATCCTGACCTCTGCTGACTTCTCCTGCTTGATCCCTGGCTTGTGACCCTGACCATTCTCTGCCCGACCCTCTGTACCGCGCTGCCCGTGAGTTACTGAACCCAGCTTGTGACCCCGACCACTCTCCCGCCTGTTCCTGGTACTCCGTTT